TTTTTTCTGACGGCTTAATTTCATTTAAGTTTTTTTTTTAGGTGGATATGCCATGATACATAACGGATTGTAAGTAATGGTAAATTTGAGAAATTTGATTTTAAAACAGCAAAAAAATGACACAACAAATGATCTCTGGAATTGTAAACAGAAATTATAATTCCTGTATTCAGCAGACTTCCCTGTTGAGCAGCTATGTCAACTGTCCTTTTCCATCTGTATGATTTAGAAAAGAATGAACAGTGAACCGGTTCACTAAATAGCTCAATAGTTCAGTTAAAAAAGAAAACGGATTTATTAACTTTTTTCCCCGAAAAAACGTCTTCGACTGATGTATTACCATTTCTTAACATATATTCTTCCGGCGGACATAAGCATGAAGTGGTGTAAAATAATTTTTGACTCCCTCATGAGACAACGCACTGACATCCATCTTACAGCCCGTTAGCCCTCCACAGGACGTCTTGTATAAGTATCCAGTAGCTATTCTACATTCAAGCTTTAATCTAAATCAACAATGGAGTGGTGTAATAGTAGATTATACCACGAGTCAATAATGATAGCTATTATTCCCGAGGATTATTACGAACTGAGCCGCGTTAGCGGCGAGGGAGTAACATTCCGAGGGAATAATAGCCATTATTGCGAGTAGTATACTCTACTTTATTTACGACAAATTAATTTATTTGAGATTTTCAATGAACAAATTTCATCAGTCTCATAATTTTCAATACAAATCCACAAGCACTACACGTTTGACACTGGCACTTTTGTGGAATAATGACCATTAATCCCGCTACTCGTCATTAATCCCTGGAGGAATAACATATGTCATTATACTGCCAAAATCACAAATATAATACGCACATTATACATTAGTCGTAAATAAAATGATTTTTCACCCCTCACACAAATTGACAATTTCCATCTTATATTACAACCCCAAAACCCCCATGAAAACGTCTTGCATGTGTTAATCAAATTTTGTTTGTGTAAAAATTAACTCAATAAATAAATGCAAGACGGTGTTTAATTATATATTTTATTTTTAACCATATATGAAATGTTGTCATTACTGACTTTTCAAAAATTTGAAAATGTCACATTTCTGTCTTTTCATTTTCCTGCTCCATTACCTGTCCCAGGACGGGAAGTGAGGACGGGAAATTTTTTCCGTCCTCATTTCCCGTCCACGGACGGAAAATGGAGCAGGGAAATATTTCCCGTTCTCATTTTCCTCTTCATTTGCCGACCTCATTTGGTTGCCCCGAATTTTTTTTTTTTTCAAGAAATTATGGTTAAAAATAAAATAGTATACAACCCTCGACGGGAAACTTCATTGCTGTCTCGAGGTTCAGTTTATCTCGACGCTACGCGTCTCGATAAACTATAAAACCTCTCGACCAGTAATGAAGCATTTCCCGTCTCGGATTGTAATATACTATTCCTCGTTCATGACGACATTTTCTGAAACACTTTTTCCAGCGAAATCCCCCACTCCCATCTTTTTCCCTTCACAAGTGCGTTTCAGTACCATGTTATCTAACTGATGATAACAATGCAAGACGGTGTAAAATGATTTGATGAAATAGGCCTCGTATCCCGTACGAGCCAACTGACTTCAAAAAACCACAAATAAAGTTTGGGGTAGGTAATTTGTACAGGGTGAACTACCTTATATCGCTATGAAAAACATGTGTAATGGCGTATAAATGTTTTACACCGGCGGAGTATACACTTGTACGCCGCTCAAGCTGAAAGTCATTGAACTGACTCTTATGCCTTATCAAAATGATTACAAAAATTACTGTTATAAGATGTTTGACAATAAAAAAAATTAGATTAGTAGGAATGTTATACTTAAATATGTAAATGCAGTAACTTTCATTCAGATTGAAGCTCTACTACCTAACTTATTTTTGTACCGCGTCTATACATATTTTTCCATTTTTTAATTTTGCCCAATCGCGAATAATTTCAGATAAGTTCATAGAGTCTGCCAAGTCGTTCTCTCTTTTAAGGGACATTAGGTAATCTTGGCCGTTTCCACCAACTAATTTGGAGGAGCCCTAATAACGATAAGTATTTTTTTTAACTGACATTTCTCCATGGAATACTGTCATTTTAAGGAATACTTGTCGTTAAGGCTCCCCTAAAATAGTTGGTGGAAACGGCCATTAGTCTTTCTTCTCCCATAGTTGTACCATCGTCACCAAAAGTAACTGGGACAGCATCACATTAGCTCTTGTCCTATTATATAAATTTTATTGTCAAATATTTGTCAAACTATGAATTAAATGCATTGAAATAAATGACAGTAGAATTAGTCCAGGAGATTATAATGCATTATTTGTGTACCAGATTCTTTTGGTGAGGATGGTACGTGAGTCATTTTTTATGAATTTTAGTTGAATTTTCGCTCATTGGTTGCTACTGAATATCCTGCAGTAAAGAGGAGTTGGCATAATTGAAATGCTTTCTTAAGTACATTTTTATTTTTCAATGCTACTTTCATTACATGTTGCATATTATCAGTAGTTGTGGTATGTTTATTAGATAGGTCAAAGAGAATTTCAATCTCTGCTGCAAGAGCCAAGAGCGTATGCATCTGGTCTAAAATTTGGAGCATATAATATAAATCAAGCATAGACTGAAATCAAGTACTAAATTGACATTTGTCATAGATAGGTACAGTTGCGATTAAAAAAAAGTAGTACAAGAAAAATCTCCATAATCTCCTGGTCTATTATGCATTAATTTAATTCATAACCAAAAATGACATATTTTTGGAATTTTTCAACAAGTTTCTAAATTTAGATTAGTCTTAATTTTTTTCTATCTCTAAAAATAAAGGGTGTTTCCATAAGAAAGTGTCCAATTTGGCCCACCCTAGAGCCAAAATCCGATTTTTTTCAATAGGACACCCTATATAATAATAGCTTATTAAAAAGCTCTGCTTTTGCTGATTTCAATGATATAGGATTCGATAGGTTTGTCAATAACGGTTTCCGGGAAAAAAAAATATTTCGGTTTTTGTCATAAGAAACAATATGTTAGAAAGAGACCTTTCTCAGTTTCCTTACAGAGGTAAAGTCATTTTCCAACACATTGTTTCTTATGACAAAAACCGAAATAATTTTTTTCTCGAAAACTGTTAGAGATAAACCTATCGAACTTTATATCATTGAAATAAGCGAAAGCATAGCTTTCTAATGAACTATTAATATAAAGGGTGTCCTATTGTGAAAAATCGGATTTTGATCAATATCTCGAAATCGAAGCCAGACAGAAAAAAACTGAGAACTCACTGAATTCTGCTTGAAAAAGTGCTTCCAAGAGATCTTTACGGAAATTAATTATTTTCATAAACAAAAAAGTTATGGAGGCATTACAGTATTGCTCAAAATCGAGAATCGCCCTCTAGCGTCTAAACGGTTGAAGATATCAAAATGAGGTTTGCACCAATCAAGATTTCATGAAATTTGAGCCTCAGAGTGGGGGGTCCATTTTTTTCTATCTCTAAAAATAAAGGGTGTTTCCATAAGAAAGTGTCCAATTTGGCCCACCCTGTACATTATGTTTAGAGAGAGGAAATGAAAATAAACAGGTGAATCCACGCAGGTTTTTGAAAATAGTAGATAAATTATCGGTTAAAAAACCTACTTAGGTATCTAAAACTTTAGAAAATTCCATTCTTTAGAACTTGTTTGGGTCAATTTTAGAAGTGTTAAGACTGACCTTTTCTCTCACCAACTGGCGTGAGGATTGGAAACCAACTAGACATTTTTTTACCAACTGGAGAGGACATTGGGGGGGGGGGGGGGGGGGCGTTGCCCCCCCTGCCCCCCCATGGGTCCGCCCCTGTTTCAGATATTCCCAGAGAAAATGACCTAGGTGTGTCAAATCCGGTTAACGAGGAGGCCAGTTTGTTGCCAAATATCTGGAGATCAACTGTTTATCTGGTCTTGCAAGATCCATAGTTGCTGTGGTGGTATCTGCAGTAGCTTTATCATGCTGAATCCCTATTAGAAGCAAAAACAGGAGGCAAAATGGTTCAATAATTTCCCGATTCCCAGTATGGCTGATCATTGACCTAATCTGTTCAATAAATATTTGTTGGCATTCTACAGGATGCCCGACAATGCGTTATACAATGAATGAAGTATTCATTTTTCTTAGCGTGTTCTTGAAATAAAGTATTCACTTTCTGACACACGATCGCGGAAATGTGAAGGGCTCACAAAACACAATGTTTTTCTATGTGACGTTTTGTAACCTTATTGCTACTTTTTCAAGCACTACACTTTCACGAGTTATTGAAATCTAACGGCATGTATCCGATAGTTTTTGAGGTATCTACTCTGGACTTCAACTTCTGAACTAATGGCCGTTTCCACCAACTATTTTAGGAAAGCCTTAATAATCAGTATTCCTCAGGCCCAGTTATACAATCTTGGTTCAAAACAGGGTTCAGCTGAACTCGACTGGTACTTGAACTTTCCCATTTGAAATGCATTGTTGTCAAAATTGATATAATTTGATTAATAGCTGACAGCAACATATTTCAAATGGGAAAGTCGAGTTCAGCTGAACTTTGTTTTGAACCGAGATTGAACAACTGGGCCTCAAAATGACAGTTTTCCACGGAGAAATGTCAGTTTGAAGAATACTTATCGCTGAGGCTTTCTTAAAATAGTTAGTGGAAACGGCCATAAATTAATCATTAAAGAAAATAGGTGGAAATCTCTCTGCAAAATATTCTCTTCGTTTTGATATTTCTGGATTATCTGCGGTACTGGCTAAGTAATGGTTTTGTTTTATATTGTGTTCACATTATTATGTCCGAAGTGTTTTCTGATGAACATTTGCAAGAGAATTTGTTTTGTATCTTTTTCATGAAATGAACCATGTAACGTCCACGCTTGCGTCGCCACTGCCGTTGCCGTAGCCATAGCCACTACCATGTCTGACAAGTTTCATCAATCAATCAGTCAGTCAGTTTCCCCGATCAAGTTCATTATCAGTAATTTTCCTATTATTTTGCCGACTTTGCATTTTTACAGTTAAATTGTTGAATAAAAACATCAAAAAACAATGTGTAGTGCAGAGTGTTGGAGTTCCCTTCGATAGGCGCTACATATTTGGCGTCCCAACGAGTGCCTGGGGTTTTGTAGTGAACCGCCACCGCAATGACTTTCTGGACTAATTTTGGGACTATGTAGATAAATGAACTATAGAACGTGAGATATTATTAGTGTGTAAATATGCATTATTTGACTGAATTTTAAGTTTTGCCACATTCAGATATTGTTCCCACAATTTCTGGAATATTCCACACAAATTTCAAAATCCCAATCCTAATCGCCTCTCTACACCGTCCATTTCTGAACATAGGCGTCTCTCATATGGCACCATCTCCTTCTGTCTTGCGCTTCTCCTATCCAATTGAACCCTGCTGTTAATTTTATGTCGTTTGTCCAGCGCATTGGTGGTCGTCCTCTATTTCGTCGTCCTAGGTATGGTCTCCAGTGCAACAGTCTGTTATTCCATCTCGCGTCTGTACATCTGGCTATGTGTCCGGCATAGTTCCATTTTTGAGTGGCAATGGTTTTGATCACATCTCCGACTTTCGTAGTATTTCTAATCCATTCGTTTGTTTTTCTGTCCCTCAGCGATATTTTTTCAGCATTTGTCTTTCCTTGTATCTTTGGCTTACGGCCATTTTGGTCATAGTTTTGTTAATGTCCATGTTTGACATCCATAGGTTAGTACAGGAAGAATGCACTGATCAAATAGTCTTGATCTCAATCTTAAGGGGATAATCTGATTTTTAGAATATACGCAAGTCTTCCAAATGCTATCCATGCTAGTCTTCTTCTGCGGTATATCTCGGTGGTCTGGTTTTCTTTCCTCAGTTTCAGCTGGTGCCCAAGATACGTATAGCTTTCTACTTTTTCAATGGGTTAGTCCTTAATAATTATTCGAGTATCTTCTTTGCACATAAGGTCTTATTTAGGTTCATTTGTAGTCCGATCTTGCCCAGCTCTGCGTCCACTTCAAGCAGCATTTCCCGTAAGTCGTCCGGATTCTCCGCAATAAGCCCCACATCATCGTCAAATCTCAAGTGGGTAAGTCGTTCTCCATTGATTAGTATACCCTTCTGTTCCCATTGAACACGTGGAAATGCTCCCTCAAGAGCCAAATTAAATATTGTAGGTGATATAGTATCTCCCTGGCGGATCCCTCTATTTATGTTTATTTTATTCGTGTTCCCGTGTAGTTCAATTGTAGACGTTGCGTTATTATACAGGGTGTCCCAAGGAAAACAGTCCACCCCGATTTATTGGATTTGTTATGAGAATCTCGAAAAACGCTCGGACACATCGATTTTTGATTTGAAGGGGAACTATTTTTCAGTTTTTTTCATTCCCGTAGCTTCAACCCCTTAGATAGGGGGAGAACAACCCCCCAAATTTGAATAGGGGATAGGGGTCGCGTCACATCTTTTTTTAAAGGTCTCATCGAGTTCTTTATGGTCCTAGATTCTCGTCTCATTATTTTCATCCGTAACGAAATGACAGCTGGTCAAAATCTTGGAAATAGACTATTGTTTTAGTGGGAGTAAAAGCGATACTTACCTCCCTCAATAAAAATACTTGAAATTGAAGTTTTTAATAATTATTATTAGAGAGGTGTAAACGAGAATTGTTAATTGTAGGTATTTCTACTCGTATGTTTATTAAGGGAGGTAAGTATCGCTTTTACTCCTACTAAAACAATAGTCTATTTCCAAGATTTTGACAAGCTGTCTTTTCGCTACGAATGAAAATATTAAGACGAAATTCTAGGGCCATAAAGAACTCGATGAGACCTTCAAAGAGAGGTATGTCACGACCCCCCTCCCCTATTCAAATTTTGGAGGTTGTTCTTCCCCTAGCTGGGGGGTTGAAGCTACGGGGATGAAAAGAACTGAAAAATAGTTCCCCCTCAAATCAAACATTGACGTGTCGGAGCGTTTTTTTAGATTCTCATCCCAAATCCAATAAATCGGGGTGGACTGTTTTCCCTGGGACACCCTGTATATACTTTCTAAGATCTGGGTATATCTGTGATCTATGCGTGCGTCCCTTAAGCTATTCATAAGTGTCAAGTATTTTATAGAATCAAATGCCTTGTAGAAATCTATAAACGCCAGATGTTAAGGTTGTACTCTGTGACTTTCTCCATAAGCAGTCTCATCGTCAGGAGATGATCGCATGTACTATACAGGGTAGTCCAACAAGCGCGCCTCGGTCGATAGTAGCCAAACCGTTGAACCTATGGAAAAATGTTCTGTATAAAAGTTTTAGCATTTCATTTCTGCTAACACCCAAAATTATTTTCAAGTATACAGGGTCTCTCAAAAAAGAGTAATTACAAATTTTATGGTTTTTTTAAATAGAATACTATATATTTTTCTGTGACAAATGAAGCCTCTATGTGCGCTGTACTCAACTTTAAAATCATATTGGAATTGAATGCAGCGTTGCCAAGTTATGATTTTTCGAAGAAAAAAATAGACCAAAACATACTTTTTAAAATTGTCATATCTCCGCCACTGTACATTAATTTCCCTTGAAAATTTACATGTTATCTAATGTTAGCCTAGTTGCTCTTACATTATCTTCATTTTTCGATTTAAGTGTACAGGGTGTCCAAAATATTTGTCTAAACACGTCAATTTCAAAATCCATTTATATTGAGTCTTTCAAATACAACACCGCGTATATTATTTTTCTAACGAAAAGCTGAAAATGTCCTTTTTCAGAAAATATCATATTTGCCGTATCTATCTCATTAATATTTTGAGATATTAAGATTTTCCCTTAACTTTGCACAAACAACGGTAAAAAGTGAAGTAATTTGGTAGTTTTACCTGGAAAGTTTTTCGAGAGTTTTGAAAATTTTAGAGGTTTAGACGTGTTCTTTCCGAATTTCTACTTTGCCACCTCGTATTTTTGCCGCTCGTGCTGCCATATTGAAAAATTTCGCCAAGAAACAGGTTTTTCACAATATCTCCTTTCCTTCTCATTAACATAAAAATATAGTTATCTAATATCTAAATTGAACTTTGAACTAGAGAAAATTTTCCTATAATTAACGTTCTTATTCTGTAAAATAAATAGTTTCAGCGTACGAGTGCGACAAACCAACATACAGCTACACCAACACGTGTTTGTCCGTTTGTCGTATAATATCGTATATTCCACCACGTACCTATTTAAAAACCGGCTTACTAGGGTCTGTTCTTCCTTCGCAGGTATAAAGGAATGCACTGTAAACTTTGTGGTACTGTCATGGCGTGGAGCCCCCCTCTCTCCCTTCTACGAGCTATCAGCTGGCGGAGTTCAAGTATTTTGTTTGAATCATCAGTACCTACCTACCTACATGTTTATTGTTCTAGTGTCGTTTGTATTTTTATAGTCATAATTTCGAAGGAAGTAGACTGTTTTATTTGTGAAGATCCACTGCAAGGAAATGAAGTGAAAGATTATCTTATCTTTTCGACAAACAAAGGTAAACTCTTGGACAGACTTATGTTGATAGTGGTTCAAGATGTATATTGAAAAGGGTATAATAACGAGAAATCAATTGCTGCATCTTTACGTATAGGAAGCGATGGCGCCATTTCTCATCTACAACTGCGATCTAGGTACCCAACATTCAAATCGACAACGAAGCTGTTAATCCCATCGAGGATAATGTGGGAGAAGCTATCTGTAACGATTCAATCAGTTCCGAAGACGATATGAATAAACCCGCAACACCTAGTCCATCAAGAATAGCGAAGCGATGGAGAATGCGCTAAATATTGTAATAATCCATTGCATGTGGTTAGGCCTACTGGGGATACCACGATAAAAAAAACCGCACCACTGTACCTCATGGTGGTGTGGAAATGAGTTTTTTGGCCAAAACGCATGTTGAGTCGACTTTGCAGCATGCGTACGCTAAAAGTAGGTATTCATTTTTACTTCCCTCGTTAAAGGGAAGTATTTGTATTCACGTAAAAAATCGACCTCGAGATTTCATACGTTTTCAGGTCCCTAGGCCCTAGATTACGAAAATCATGTTTTCTCAATTCCGTCGGTCTGTCGGCGCTTTACAGACCGACAAACAGACATGTCGGTCTGTTGGCGCTCCAACTCAATAACAGCTCAACCTAGAACAATGGTTTTTGGTATACACTTTGAACCCCTACCGGCCGGCGGCGCTAAAGTAAGGGTTTCTGTTCGCAGATATACATACAGGGTGTTCCAAAAACTATGCGACACTATGAAGTTGGTTACATTAGCAAGAAGGTACTGTTCTTGAAATTCACTAAAGCTACGTTTTCGTTTTTGTCGATTTTTTAATTCCTTTTCAAGATACAAGGGCCTTGGTGTTCAAACATATTTGGTCGTATATTTTCAAAACTACTTATTTCAGAAAAATCGCTCAAATTTGAACGTTCCCTAGGTTGATCGGCAACAACAAGATTGGAACCTGAAAGTTTGAAACCGACGTTTCGCTTTCGGTATGTCATTATCAACTTTCCATTTTTAGGATTTTCATTTTATTTTTCAATTAAAAAAAAAAACAAAAAACATTTTAATGATGTTTATTCAAAAAAGGGTGGGGTGGTTTACCGAGGGAAGTCATGAGTAAAGGCCTTCACCAATTTTTATAACTATTTTCATGTTAATGAGAAGGACTCATATTGCGAAAAAACCTGTTTTTTGGCGAAATTTTTTCAATATGGCGGCGCGAGCGGCAAAAATACGAGATGGCAAAGTAGAAATTCGGAAAGAACACGTCTAAACCTATAAAATTTTCAAAACTTTGTTACATGAAGAGTGATGAAATTGCCTATTTGTTGCGTGAGCGATTATTGCAAAAGGGGGAGAAAGAAGAAAAGAAGAAAGAGTTGAAGAAGGGAAAGGGGTGAAGGAATGGAGGGGATGATAAAACTCCTGAAGGTGGCCGAAAGGAAACCAACTTGTAGGGCAGCTCCGACTAGCCAGATTAAAGGTAGAGTGGTCTGGGTCAAAACTAAAAGCGCCACCTGTTTTCAGCCCTAAAGTAAATTGGTTCCTGAATGCGAAAAATAATAAAACAGGAAACAGCCTAGAACATACAAAGTAATTAAATCAACACAGGAAAGCAAGGAGAACAAAAAGCAGGGCATCAATAAGTGAAATCACCTATTAGCATGCGAGGACTCGTCGATTCGCAAATG